CTATGCTTTAAGAGAAACGGAGATATATAATTAAATGAGAAACATTTTGTATAATATTTTTTTTTTGGTTTCTCGCCCGGTATCCGGGTTTCGCCCCAACTAATTCGGACCTGACCCGCGTCGCGTACCTGAAAATGGTGGGTGAGTCTTCCAGTGAGAGCTACTGCATACACAAGTTCTCGAACTCGAAACCTTGTTTAAGCTGAAACAAGCCGCTTACCACTTGATCCAACCACTCGTTAGTACATTTTGTATAATATGAACTGCATTGAACTACACTTAATTGCACAAAAGTGGATCTCTAATACAGATGCAAACCCCCAGATAAAAACCCTTCCTCATCAAATGATCGTGGCTCTGCAGTTTGGACCGCCAAACTGCTTACTCTAATTAATTATCCTTCTTTTTTAATCAGGGCAATTAAGAGAAATGAAAAATGCTAAGGTTATCTGCTTCTATTAAAAATAAAAAGTTCTAAGTTCGAGTTGCATAATAACATATGATTGAAGTGGGGTAAAAGATGAGATGGTTATCTCTCATTATACAACCGAGATAAAAAACAAATAAAAGAAAAATGGGAAATGGGATACGTAAGATTTGAGCACTTACGCATAAAAGATAATCACTATTTTAACCAAAAATTGTGAGCACTGGGCTGAGGCGTGGGGATCCTCTAATTAATTATCTTGAGCTGAAACCAATGGCAACGACAGCTGGGGTGTTTTTAATCAAACAGCATACAGACACCACCATGCATGAGTCAGGAATCCGCTGCAATATTTAATAGAAATGCTTGAAATCTGAAGCATTATTCTCAAACATTGTATTGACTTTCTCCCTTGAGCTATCATTAAATTTGTCACTGTTCATACAATGGGAACCTGACTACCTGAGCCTGAATGCAGCATTCTAAAACAAGGTACCAGGTACCCAAGCAAGTATGAAATGATGGGTTCTCTGCCATTGAATTATAAATATATCAAGACGATACCCTTATGCACATAGTTTCTTCCAGCATTAGCTAGATGTATAATTAACTTGAAGGCATACTATGAAATTCTAGCACTTGAGTTTAATTATGAGCAAAATGGTTAGCAAAGATTCAAGGGCTACATTTTGATTTTGGTATACTGCTAAGGTGGATTCTATATTAAGAATCTATATATGCTGTGACTGGTCTTCAAAGTGAATGAAACAATGCCTCAAAATCTGCATTTTGTAGTGAATCGAGTCCAGAAAATCTTCACACCCCTTCCCCTGCCTGTTGTAGAAGCCTTTTGAGTTCATCTGCCATTACTTGTAAGAGAACAGGTTTCCGGATCACTGCATTCATTCCAATCTGCAGGCATCTCTCCCACACACGATCGTCAGCACTGGCTGTCAAGGCTATGATCAATGGCCAGTTCCGGCTGCGGAGCTTGCGGATTCTCAATGCCACATCAAACCCGTCCATTTCAGGCATGTAAAGATCCAAGATTACAATTCTGAACGAATTTTCAGCATGGGTTAGTGCACTGAGACACTCAAAGCCTGATGAGACAGAAGTCACCATGCAACCCAGTTTCGCAAGAAGCTTCTTGGTCACACACCTATTTACATCATCGTCATCAGCTAGTAAAACCTTGAGGCCTCTAAACATGGAGTTGGAATCTGGTTGGTCAGAGGGTTTCCCTGGTGCATATGTGGTTCTTCCAAAATACTGTTGTTGGATTTGGAACCGGAGAAGAAGCGTCATACTTTGCGAAAAACCCAGAGAGTTCGGGGATATCCAGATATTACCTTGCATCATCTGCAATACCAGACACATAATATCCTATTATTATAGCATATACATAATGCAATGCCAATGCATACTAGAAATTGAGAAACCCAAACAACTGTCTTTCAAAGTTTTAAGTTTTGTATTTAACGAACTAAGGATCAGGCATGGGAATATGAAACAGTTTAAGTGTAACATGATAAAGTGTATAGGAGATTGCTCAAGCTCAAAAATATCAACTAGTGCGGTTCTGACATAATGCTGCAAAAAATAATCACTTGATACCTCTCCTTATCGGTAAGGGTGTATAAGGAGAAGGAAAGGAATGGAAGAGGGTCTGAAATCATGTTGCCAGCTTTGGCAAGAGAAAATCACATTTAAGGGATTCGTAATTGAGGAAGGAAAGGAAGCACAATAATCCTTCAGTTTGTTTAAACTTAGCATGAGCGAAAGAAATATACTATAACCTGCTAGAGATAGAGAGGAACATGAGGTTTGAATGATGCATTTAACCTAGGTGCTAAGTTTTACTACATTCCAGGTTCAATACATTGAATGCATACTTTAATTTAATGTAACTTACAATTTATAGAGAACTAGCCAGAGATTGTATAGAGCAGTTTGAATGCTGAAGACATATCAATAAAGATGACAAAATATCTTCTTTTCTCACCTTATCTACAGCTAGCTTAAAGGCAAAATCCTTGAAACTTTTTCAGTTGATCTTTAAACAGAATCCAGAACAGTAGGAAACTAGGAATCTCCTAAACCAATATAAATAACCTACAATGAAAGCAACACTTGTTGCTTACAAAAGAAAATTACAACCAACAAACAATAGTGTCCAAGCAATAAAACTAGTGTGCTGACATACTAAATACAGAAATGACTTAAGTTGTCTTCAGACTTAAGTAGGCAAAAGATGGCATCAGAACCTAGGATATGGATAGAAAACTAAAACATTATCTTCCCAATAAGTGTTCCATTGATCCTATACAAGCCACAAAATATTAATTACTAGTTGCAGTGGAACACAACGGTACACTGATGTCTACATAGAGCAAACTTTAACATTAAACATGCAGTATAAATAACTCCTATCAAGGTACAGCATTGGCAAGAGAAAATGAAAAGTACAACTTGAGGTACTCACCTGCACAAGCTTTTTGCACATGCTGAAATTGGGGCTTTCCCTAATCTCATCTTTGTTCTGCGTCATTGTAGCATTATTTTTGCCTGAGATTAATTCATCTGACTCATTACTGCCCCCATGAATCTCCACTTCAAACTTTACACGCACATAATCAGCAGTTGTGCTTGATCTCCATATCCCTAACGTGCTGTCTTTCTTGTCCAGACTACCAACCTCTGCAAAAACCCGAAATACTACAGTTCCTCCTCCACAATAAATGTCCAGTAGATAGCCAACCATATGCAAAATCACTTGAAAAGTCCTCTTCTCATCACCAATCACCAGATCAGGCAAAGTGCTCTGAACATCAACTTCAAACCCAAAGCCTTTGTATACTGACAAGCACTTGGCAAGGCAAGAAGCTTCTTTAATAGTGGAATGTAGCCTAAAAGGTTTCATTTCTAGTGGGAATCTCCCATTATCCTTTGGTGAAATTTCCATCACATCATTTACCAATGTTGAGAGAACGCTGCTGGTTTTTAACAAAGTGTCAACAATCATCTTCTGGTCAAACTTCAAATTCTCATCTTGAAACATCGAAAGCAGGCCCAAAATAGAATGCATCGGCCTCCTCATACCATTGCTCATCACTTTCTGAAATGAGTTCCTTGCTTGGCTGGCCATCATTGCATTCATTCTCGCCTGTTGTAAGGTGCGATTTTGCTCAGCCAGTTTGTCCCTCATCAGCTGAGATTCCTCAAGAACTGCAGCATGCGACAGAGCAACAGCTACCTGATCAGCCACAACTTCAACAATCTCCATTTCCTGACAGCTCCAATTCCCATTGTTTGCACCTGGAAGAACCAAGACCAATATGGCATAGCAAGTTTCTACCAGTTCAGGCGTTCCGCCTTTAAAATTTGAAACGTGGAGCAATGGCATCCGGATTGCTGCCACAGAACCTGCTTCATTCAACACACCACTTGCAAGTCCGAGTGCTGATTCTGGCCTAAGGATCCTCACACCTTTATTTGACTTTATCTCCCTCACATCAGGATCATCTATTGAGATTGAATGCTGAGAGTTCCTAGATGGACTTGCTCTTTGTTCATGGATCAGGTGCATAACTGTTCTGTTCTCGTTCGGCATCCATACTGCACAATTGTGCAAATTCAGTGTCTTAGAAAGCTCAACTAGAGTAGTATACAATATGGTATGCCTATCTAGTGACTTCCGGATTTCCTGTGTTAGCATTCGAACATGTAAACTTGCTTCCTCCTGCTTCTTCATCATCCCCACTTCTTGATCTAATTCCAGCACACTTTGCCTCAAGAAAAGCTCCCTCACTTTGACTTGGAGGAGGAGAGGAATCAGAGTTAAAAGGGTTATTGCAGTAGCACACGAGACAAGAGCTGTGAGGAATTTGGCAATGGTGAGGGACAGCACCAACCGGAATGTGTGGGGACCATAATAAGTCCATGCAGTGATCAAATGGGTCAGTCCACAAAGCACTATGAAGGCTATGAACTGAACAAGGACCCATTTGAAGGGCACATTTGAGCAACTAATAAAGTAAAGGAGTTCAAGGGGTATTGAGAAATAGGCTACTGCAATCAAGATATCACTCACTTTCTGGCACTCCAAAATGCTATGTATGCTCCAAAAGCCCTCATCATCACAACAACCCCCAAATTCAGCATCAATGGCAGATACAGATATTGCCAGGCAAGAAATTAAAAATCCAAGGGCTAATGCTCTTAACATTGCACCCAACTGGATATTTAGTTTTAATCCATAACAAAAACCATGGAGCTAATTTCCTCAAGCAAATTCTTCTTTCTGGAAACAACTAAAATACCATCCAACCCAATAAACCCGATCAGCAACACTTAAAACATCTACACGTACCCACCTAATTCTTGATTTTTATGAGAAAAAACCCGCATGCTGGATTAGATTTCTGCAACCGTTTCCTGGAATAAAAAATTTCACATCTCTCAATCAAACAAATTTCTATTAACAAGAAAACCCCAAAAAAAAAAAAAAACTTCAATTTCTTCAACAATCAACAAAACCAAGAAAATCAAACAACTAGAGTCAAGATCAACCTGTCTTCATGCTTCAAAAATCATAAGAGAAACAAGAAGGAAGCTAAAAAGATGGGAAAAGAGGCAGAGCTAAAAAGTAAAAAAGAACATACCTGAGGCACCAGCAGGCCAATCTAAACCAAGAGAACCCAATATCATTGTCAAACTTCCAATATCAAAAAGATCAACAGTACCCACTTACCAAATCATAACCTTTTTCAAACCACAAAGAAGAACCCACCACACACA